CAGGCATTGTGGTGGGCGCCTGTGGTCCCAGCTACTTGGGAGGCGGAGGCAGGAGACTCGCTTGAGCCCAGGAGTTGGAGGTTGCTGTGAGCTGTGGTGCGACGGATAGCTTGAGGCTCTGTCTCAAAAAAAAAAAAAGATTTCTGAGACTGCATCAAAACTCTTGCCACACCCATGTGAGCAAACAGAACTTTCAGAATTGAGTGTTTATCTATATTTATATATTTAATATACATATATTTATATATATATTTAACCCACACATTCCAAAAGCATGTTCTTTTGTACCACCAGCCCCCCAACTGTAACCACTAGTTATTTCTCCAACTAGAATATTTGTATACTCTAGGAGATGAACCTGTATTCTATGCTATTTTTAATCTTAAAAAACAAGTCTTAAAATAACTTATTTGTATACAACTCCAGCAGCTGGAGTAGGCTTAATATATCACACAGCTGTTAACTTTGGTTTCTTTTTGGTAGCATAGACACCCGAGGTGTAAACACAGCACAAAAACTGCGCAGGGAGGGCGGTAGCTCAGGCCTGAAATCCTAGCGCTCTGGGAGGCCCAGGCGGGCTGCTTGAGCTCAGGAGTTTAAGACCAGCCCGAGCAAGAGTGAGACCCCGTCTCTACGAAAACAGAGAAACTAGCTGGGCGCTGTAGCAGGCGCTAGTAGTCCGGCTATTTGGGAGGTTGAGGCCCGAGGGTCACTTGAGCCCAGGAGTTTGAGGGTGCTGTGAGCTAGGATGACACCACGGCACAGGGCGACAGAGTGAGACTGTCCCAAGGACAAGAAAAAACCCAAAAAGAAAAAATCTTTGCCCAACGGCTAAAGGCGGGTCTCGAGAGTGGCGCGCCACAAAGGCGGGCAACAGCTGCCTAGGCCCCCAGCCACTTGGCAAGTCGCCCGCCCGCCAGGTCCCCACCCTCCGCCTCTCGCAGAGGCAGCGGCTGACCTCCGCCCCTACGTGGCAGCGGCGGCTGCGGGGCCCAGCGCATGCGCGCGCGCGGACCGGCGCGGATCGGCCCGGGCGGCGCAGGGCGCGTTCCCTCCAGACGGCAGGGGGCGCGCGCCGGGGAGCCCGGGCGAGCTTGGCTCTGTGTGGGGCCGGCGCGGCCCTGTATGACTGGAAGGAAGATGGAGCCAGATGCCGAACTAGAGGGGCGGCCCTGACCCTACTTACCGAGGTCCTGCCGCCGGGAGCCCCCTTCCGCCCCGGACTAGTGTGTTCGGGCTTCCCTGCGGGCTGGGGCCCGAGAGTGGAATGGTCGCCGAGGCCCAGGCCGTCAGGCTTCCGCGCGCCGGGTGAAGGGAACTGGGAAGTCTCGAGGGACCCCCCCCAATAACTCCAGGCGTGAAAACCCCTGCAAGGTGAGGAGCAGGTACCGACCCAGAGGGGAGTGGGTTGGGTGTGGGATGGGATGGGACGGGACCCCTCGCTCATTCAGCTCCCGGCCTCTCCCCGCACTCGGGCAGTGTTATTCGAGGTTGGGGGGCGCGGGGGGCGGGCCGCTGGGCTCGGCGGAGGCTCCGTGGGGACCTGCCCGGCGCGGTCGGCGGGGTAGGGGAGGAGGGCGCGGTTCGTTTCGGGCCCGGGCTCCGGGCAGGTGGGGGCGGGGGTCTTCCCGGGAGCGCGGCGTCAAGGTCACGTGGGCGGGGGGCTGCGGATCGGTCAGGCGCTTCGGCTCTGGGGCGGCGATTGTAGCAGGTGCCGGTGAGATTGCGGGTCTGAGCCCAGCGCCGAGTGTGGGCGAGACTGGGCTGGTTCCGTGGGCGAGTTGACTCAGCCTTTCCGCTGGGGCTGGTCAAGTTCGGACACGTTCCGAGTCGCAGTGGAAGGAGCTAAGCCCTGACTTGCCTCCAGCCAGGCTATTTAACTGGGGCCCTTTCCCAGCTGTGCTCACTGGCTGGTAGAGACACCTGTGGGACCACGCGGCTTTGTCCATGCTCATCCAGGTAAGGGCCAGCTTGCTTATAACTTTATGTAGTTTTAATAAAGGAAGTATCTCTTTTATATATGGTTCTTTTTTTCGAGATGTTTCATTATTTCCAGTTTTTATGCTGTATTTATTTCCTACTTTTAGGCAAATGTGCAATACCAACATGTCTGTGTCTACTGATGTAACCACCTCACAGATTCCAGCTTCGGAACAGGAGACCCTGGTTGGTATTTTTGTCTCTCAGGTGTAACTTTTAAAAACAATTAATGAGGCGATCGACTAAATTTTGTGCACCCTAATTGTAGCCTGGCTCCTGAAATGGAACTGTGTGTAGGTAGCTTAAATTCTGCTATGTCAGGCATAACTGTGTGGAGTAAAAAAATGAACTGTAGGAATCAGTCCGTATTTTCTTAGCCTTTTACCACATGGGCTATAAAAATGAGTTCTATTAAATTCCTAAGCACCGATGCTGAAGTTGTGTTTGTTATGTGGTCATTATTTTTTCTATTTTGACCCATCAGTATTTTTTGAATGGTTTCTAGAAGTGAGAAAAGTAATTCATGCTTACTGTAAGGATTAGACATTACAGAAGTACGTAAAGTAGAAACTGAAAATTTCAGCCTTCTCTTTCATGTTTCTTTTTAGATTTTTTCTGTGTACACACATATATTCACATGTAGATTTAGATCTGTGTTGTTTTGCTTAGGCAAGATTAAAGTAAAGGCATATTACAGCTTGGATCCTTATTAATAAATAAAATGTGCAGAATTTTGATGGCTGCATAGTGTTCCAGAACAAGTGTACCATTTTAAGTTATTTGTACTTTTACTGATAGAGTATTAAAAATTGCCAGCTTGGTGCCTGTAACTCAGCAGCTAGGGCGCCAACCATGTATACCGGACCTGGCAGGTTCCAATCCAGCCTTGGCCTGCCAAACAGCAATGACAACTACAACAAAAAAATAGCTGACCGTTGTGGCAGGTGCCTATAGTCTCAGCTACTTGGGAGGCTGAGGCAAGAGATTGACTTAAGCCCAAGAGTTTGAGGTTGCTGTGAGCTGCACTCTTACCCAGGGCGACAGCTTGAAACTCAAAAAAAAAAAAGAAAATATTGCCTACTGTTTTTGAGTAGTACAGCTAATACTCCTTTGTTTACGTATATGCATCTGAACACGTGTGTTAAGTGACTATTTCTGTAAGAAAGCTTTTATAGAAATAGAACTCATGCTCCTAAATTATACCTATATTTGATTGCTACTGGTAACACGCTCACCAGAACATTTCAACAGGTTTCACTCCTACCACTACTGAGTATTACCAACTTTTAATTACTATATTTTTGCCTTTTTGGGGAGTAAAGGTACTGTGCCATTGTTTTATATTTTCTT